CCATGTGTCCTTAAGTGAGTTCAATATGCAGTTAAGGCAGTGGAGAACTTTCAGAGGGGAATTAACAGGAGATAATTGATAACTGACATCCGCTAAACATGGTATGTGGAACTAGAACAGTCTACCCCAGTGAGTGAAATAAAGAATTCAGTTCGACATTCCAACCACTTGAAGAAGGCTGGAGCGTACAACGGACGAAACATTGTAATAAATATAGGACAAAGATGAGAACAATAAATCAGCAAGTGATGAAAACTACTTCCTTAACAAATTTGGAACCAAAGGGTATTGTGTAAACTTCCTCTTCTTGAACGTCAGGTTTTGTCATCAATTTGTTCTCCACACACTGCTGTAATTAATACCTGCTTTCCATTAATGATATTTAGTTTCTGGCAATTATTCTACTCTTGTCTGACACGCATCAGTAAAATAAAATATTGGTGCTGAAGGTGTTAGCAATAACTTGTTAATGTGATAGGTTGTATTAAAATAGAGTTTAAAGTGAGTAATAAAAGTAATTTGCACAAATGTGTATGTTACTACACAGATCCACAATGTTTCAATTGAGAGAATAATTCATTTTGTTGAAAATGATTTAGTATTTTGGTATATTGCTTGCCTGTAATAAGTCATATGGTTTACATGAAAATCTTATTCAGCAATTATATGTAGGTAGAAAAGACAAATTCAAGCTACTATGTTTTTTAGGGGGGGGGGGTGCCTTTTTTTCTGTTAAATTCTTTCTTAATTAGCAAACTTATCTGATAAAATGTGATAAAATAGTTAATAACCCTATGTGTTTTTCCAAGACCCAGGAAATGAAAGAATGAAAAACTAAAATCTTTCCATACAAGCATAAATTTAAAAAAAACAAAAAACAAACAAAACAATGACAGAAACATTGCTTATACAATGCAATTTTAAAAATTTGAATTGAAAATAAAGAACACTGATGAAATAGTTATTAAAATATGCTTTAAAAAATTGTTAGTCAAATGTCACCATTTACTAACATATTAGTGGTACAGCTTGTTTTGTTCTTTCAGTGTAAGATGGAGACACACAGACAACATTTAGCCTTCCATGAATTTATAAAAAAAGAAGATATGAACTGGAGAAGGATTTTGTTGGTTTCTTATTTTTTTTTTTTTTTAAAGAATTCAATCTTGAAAACTTCTTTAATAATCTCTTGGAATTTTATAAATCTATTCAGAAAGTTCTATTGAAATCAAAATCCAACTATGTTGCAGGTTAACTACAGATTTAGAGACAGATGGACTTCCATGCATTCTATTTGAATTCAAAATTTAAATGTGTAAAATTAGAAAGTGAGAATGAAAATACCACAAGTCAGGCAAAATGGTATCACATGATAAAACACAAAACATTTTACCTGCTCACAATTGACCATTTTGTTAGTCAAAATTTAATGAATCATCCTTCATGGTTAAAGAAACAAACAGGAGTCTTCAAAATTATGATAAAATTAACCTGTGTCAGACTTTACGAATTTAAGCACAATACTAGATTTGACAGTAGAAATTACTAGATATAACCATAATTTCAATGCTGACAGTTTCTTCTCCCTTACTTCTCACTTGTCAGATTTTCTTCCAGCTTATCAGTTAACTTTGATCTTCAAAATTTTAAATGCATTATCTTTTGTCTTCTTAATTCCATGATAATATTTTTCTTTTTCTCATATTGTTTCACACTCAATAAACCCTTGTATCTTAGTGACTTTATTGCCTTGCTTGGAGCGAAATGATATATGATATATTCCCTAACCAAATAAATAGCTCTGCAATTGGAGGGAGCTTCCTCATGTTTGTACTCTTTCAAGTCCAGAATTCATAACATCATAAATATTAACCAGATTCGGTTCTGGTCAAGATGTCACACTATTGTGACACTGGCAATATGAAATTAGGATTAAAAGGGTCCATGTGAAAACCCTGTATGGGAATTGGAAGGGTTAAAAAACATTAAAATTATTAAGGTGAAAACATGAATTGAAATAGGGAGAGAGGAGAAATTTTTTGTTTCCTGATAAACTGATGGGCAAATAAAATTGTTATAAATCCTCCAAAGCTGGAATGTAAGCAGTTTAAAATATGTCCGAGGAATCAGGAATGTAAAAATTCTTTGACATCAGAAAAATAGAAATAATTTTTGAACACAAAAGTTTGTTATTAGAAAAAATATTGTTGTCAGAGAATTTATTGTTTTGAATAACTGACCACTTTGTTTGAGGGTTAGTTTCATTTCTTCTAGGTTGGAGAAAATAATTGATATGAATATTGATGAGTCATGAGGTGTGGTAGGAGTCAGGCAAAATACATATAAACAGAGCGCTTAATTGACTCAACAGGTGGAGCGAGAAACGAGACAAGACAGCAATGGACGAAGGAGCTGCTAAACCCCATGAGCAGCTGTCAAGAGAATCCCAACCAGCCCCTCTCTTTGTTGTGTTTTTTAACCCATTCCAAGTTGTTTTTTTTTTAAGAAGAGACAGACAAAGTGTCACGATAGAGGGTTTGGCAAGGAGGGTCAATTTTGTTGTATCAACAACTATATAAACAAAGTGAAAATTAACCCAGCAATCTTCTTCATTATTCTGTTATGTTTGTATTTTTGCCAGTGGAAGCGTTCTTTGTCCTTTTCTAGTATGGTTCTGCCACAGCTTGATTCAGCGCTCAGGTATAGACAAAATTTGGTCTTCACTGCTCTGTGATCAAAGAACACAATGTAGAGCAGGGCAGATGAAGGAACAAAGCAGCCAGCATATAACCATCAGTTGACCAATGGCAGAAATAACCAGTATGGGAAGGACACAGGATCAAGCTGGGCCAGCCATTTTATAAAGGGACATTAATGATATTCTACTTTGGGTGTGTAGGTAGCATAACAGTTACCAGCATAAAAAGCAGGAGTGCCATGTCAAGTTTAAATCCCCACTGAAGTTATTTCATACACTTTCATACAAACACCCTTAGATATGAATCCATCTCTTCTCTATTTAAGGGCTTATGGCCATATCATGTTGAAACACTGGTTCTCGTATAATCACCAAAGTTAAGCAACATCAAGTCAGGTCAGTACCTCCTCTCTTCCAGCTATGGGTTAATTAATAGGACTTGCATCAGTAAATTATTGTCATTTCCAGAAATATTCTCACAATCTAAAAAAATATTTGCTGGTTTTATATAACCTACAAAAGGTTGATAAGCCATAAAAAATTATAAATCAATCAATCAAGTTAAGGGAAAATAGCAGTACAGACTTGGCTTTCTAGCTTTGGTTGTCAACCAATCTAAAAAACAATGGGAAACTCTAAATTCAAAACAAAACCTACTCACTTTGGAAACCACAACAGCACCTAGTGTGATAAAGGTTGTAGCTGTAATCCACATAGGCATCCACAGAGTTAACATATTTTATATTTGTTGTAACCTAGAGAAGGTTACTGAACAGAATGATCACATGAAGTTTGGTAACGAACGATAATACTCAGGACAAGGACAACACATATAAGATTTGCCAGCTGTGCGTAAAAGTAGTAGTCAACTGCTAGAAGTGAGTCAATGAATTCCACAATGAATCTTCAACTGCAAACCAACATACAGTATTTACTACTGTATTTATCTGAATGGGGACATACCCATTATTGTCGGTAGGTATGCTGCAACAATATTGAATTTAGAAAATCAGTGATTTCTCTGTGATCAATATTTTGAAATACTTGTAAAATCTACTCAAGTGATATAAATAAAGCAGTACACATAGATAGTTAAGACCTTACATTTACAAGGTTCTGTAGAAAATCACATGGTAGAGATAAACACTCAGTTGTGGAGCAAGCTAAGTGAATAATAATCCAACCTTTAGAAAGAGAGCTATTTATGTTGCCATGGAGCATCTCATTGTGCTAAAGTGGGATAGTCCATTGCTTGGGATATGATTGGCTGCTGGTACCTGAGTGGAGGTATTTCTATATAAATACCAGCTTGATTCATCAGTTAGTTTGCAGGGTCTGCTTTATTTTTGTCTGCCAGCTGGACGCTAGCTGGGACCTTTACACCAGTAAGTGCTGTTTATTATTGTTATTCTACAGGTTCAAGGGATTGCTATTGCAGTGACACGTTTAATGGTTCTTCATAAATTTTATTGATTTTACAAAATGGTCAATGCATAAACGTACGGAATTGATTTTATTATTTGCCCCCCTCCTCACTCCTTCTTGCTGTTTTTATTTTTACTGGATTGAACCCAGATGAGTGCATGCTTATATGTCGAACTTTGTGTCTTGAGGCACATGTCTTTCTCAAGGTAATAATAGTTTTTGTTGGCAAAATACTTTTGTATATACTTGATGCCATTATTTGGAAAAAAAAAATAGGATCTTTTTCAGTCAATGTCAAGCATTATGACTACATTCCCATGCTTTCAATCTACCTGACAGTGATAAATTTCAAAATATTCTTGGATACAAGTGTCTGTGCAAGAATACATCTGAAATGGTTCTGAAACTCTTTTATGCTCAGTACTCAAGCATGAGTTATATATATGTGTTTATGATTTGGAAAATCAGCAATGCCTAACAATGTTTTAAATTAACAGTTATTATCCAATCATGAAATTACCATGAACTTATCAGTTGTAAAGAACCAATTCCAATACACTTTTTCTTCTGTCTGGTTAGCAGAAAATCCATAGACTTCATCTTCATCTGTATCTTGCAATGTTAACAGCAGCTTTAACCAACCATGGTAGGTATATCTGGTTATAAATTTGTATTTTCTGTCATTGGGAAAATGCCTAAATACATAAAGAATTATTAATATTGAATTGGGAGATAAAATTTTAGCAAAAAGAGATGTTAAATAATAAAATAATAAAAAACTAAAAGGTAAGGCAAAAAGTATAAATGAAGACAAATATGTTTAAGAAGAGAAAAATATTAAAATAAAAAAATCTATTCAAGGAAGGGGTGAATACATCTACTTTAAGTTGTGAGTGTTGCAGAGATTCTCTTGGAAGGTAAAAGTGAGAAAAACGCAATAAATAAAAATGAGAAAATGCAATGAGAGAGAAAGCAAAGGGGCAATGTACAGAGAGAAAGAGAGGTAAGTAGCAAAGATGGATAGAGAATAGAAAATATGGAATGAGGTTGATTGTGGGGGGGGAGGTATTAAGAATGTGAAACAAGGAATATCAAAAGGGAGGGAATCAAGAACTGATAAAGGAAAAAAGTGGAGAAGAAAAGAGTAATGATGTACAAGTGAGAAAAATAAGAGGGGTGAGAATGGAAGAAAAACAAAAAAGAAGATAAGGAGAAAAAAAAATGGGGTGAGGGTTGGGAAGAAAACAAATGGGGGTAGGAGAAAGGTACAAAACAAATGGGGGTAGGGGAACAAAAAAAAATAAATAGGGTGGGGGAACAGAAAAAACAAATGGGGTGGTTGAACTGAAGGAAACAAATGGGGTGGGGAAGAGGAAAATGGTGTGAGGATGGAAAAAACAGATGGCAACAGGGAAGAAAAAGATGGGGGGAAGGAAACAAGTGGGGGACAGGGAAGGAAACAAGTGTGTGGGGGGACAGGGAAGGAAACAAGTGTGGGGGGACAGGGAAGGAAACAAGTGTGTGTGTGTGGGGGACAGGGAAGGAAACAAGTGGGGGGGGACAGGGAAGGAAACAAGTGTGTGTGTGGGGGGACAGGGAAGGAAACAAGTGTGTGTGTGGGGGGACAGGGAAGGAAACAAGTGTGTGTGGGGGAAACAGGGAAGGAAACAAGTGTGTGGGGAAACAGGGAAGGATACAAGTGTGTGGGGGGACAGGGAAGGAAACAAGTGTGGGGGGAAACAGGGAAGGAAACAAGTGTGGGGGGAAACAGGGAAGGAAACAAGTGTGGGGGGGGGACAGGGGAAGGAAACAAGTGTGTGGGGGGACAGGGAAGGAAACAAGTGTGTGGGGGGGACAGGGAAGGAAACAAGTGTGTGGGGGGGACAGGGAAGGAAACAAATGTGGAGGGCAGGGAAAGAAACAAATGGGGGAAGGTAAAGATTAAAGATGCCAGGACAAGGTAAGGAGGAGGAAAAAGAAAATGTAAAGAACAATACTGAATCTGATCAGAATATCAATGGATGCTGCAATTTACAAATCTATTCATTTTGTTGCTAAAGAAAAGTTACAAACAGTAGTAGTGGTAGTAGTGGTAGAAGTAACAGGGAAAAGAAGGTTAAGGCATCAGTTTTTCTCCTACAGCAGGGGGAGAAAATGGTTCCTTACCAATCAATAAAGAACTTCATGTTTCCATAAATAAAGAGGAACATGAAAGGACTGGAGTTGGGGTAGGAGCATTCAGGTAAAAATAAAGGTTTCTATAAAAGGCCCATGTAAATGTGGTGGGGTGGGGAAGCATACCACAAAAATATACAGCTGAAAAACAAATCTCATATAAAATCATTAATTTTTCATAAAGGCAACATGTTTATTTGCAAATGGAACTGCAATTTTGATAAAACAGGCCAAGAGAGAATGAAAAACTGGACAAATAGGGGATGGAGACAGGCAGACGACTCTGTTAATAGACAAAATGAGCTATTGAATCGAAGGTTATATATGCGCACACCTTGAGAGGATACAGCTCAGTGGTTAGAATGTCTCACTGGGACTCATGAAGTGAATGTCCACAGAACAGAGAAAGATTTTCTTTTTGTTCAGCTCATGCATGCATCCAAGTATGTGTGGAGATATTTGGTTGTTGTTCAAGAGATGCTTTTGACAAGGCTAAAAGATATCAGAAATTTCTTAAAAAGAAAATATATCTGTATGCATGAACGTATACAGAAGTCATGGGATAAATGTTTAGTAGTCTATCATTTTTGAGATACAAGAAATACATGAATGGATGCAAATGGCCATGAAATGGCGAATAGTGAATGATGTATTTAGGCTGACCAGCAGATCCCATGCTGTATGAATACACCAACTATTACAGAAACACTGACCTGTGTGGAACCTTGTTGACAATTGTGGTCCATAGCCGCATGGCATCTCTGCCACACATGAATCGTTAACGCAACTGGAGCTACAAGCCATATCACATGTTGCCTGTCATCTGGGGTCAAATTAACAACATTAAAGTAATGTCTGCTTTGTTATATTAACAAGGGAACCTGGTGGATCTATTGCTTCTATGGAAGCTGAAGAATACTGAACTGACCTACTGGATATCCATAGTCTGATACTGCTAGCATTAAATGTCGATATGAGGTAAACCAGTGTCACTTTTCATTACCTTTACATACTGCTCATTGACTTATATATATATATATATATATATATATAAAATGAAATGGACTAAATCTGACAATTATTTTAATATATCTTTTGTTTATACATTATATTTATAGATACAAATATTTAAGCAAATGCTCTGTCTATAATGAACAGTAAACGATACCTTTATGTCTTTCTCATTTTTGAGTAAGCAGAAGAGTTTTTCTCTCAGCTTAATAATCTCCATCTTTTTCTAAAATATACAATGGAGATAGAAGAGAATAATCAGTTTCCTTTCTTGGATGGTGGAGAGAACACCTGTAGGCTTTCTTACCAGTGTTTATCATAAACCCATTTTTTCTGGGCTTTACTTAACTTGGGATTCTTTTGCACCCAGCTCCAGGAAAATTAATTTCATTAGTACCCTTAATCATCGTGCATTGATGTCGTGCTCTGAATGTAGCCTCGACGCCAAGCTAAAGAAAATTAAACGACTTTTATTGATGAATGGTTACTCTGAATGTGTTTTGACAGCTACCATTGAACAAAAGATCATTAAGTTCAATGAGCCTAAGAGATATGGTCCCCGCTAAGTGTCCTGTTTGTGTGAGACTCCCGTGGATTGGTCCCAGGAGTCAAACATATGCAGACAGAATTCTCTTAAATGGTGTTTTAATGCCATTATGGTCTAGAGTATTTTTACTACCAAAAAGGCTTTCCCCACTTGTAAGGATGTCTTGCCTACCAGTCAACAAAGTTTAGTTATATACCAATATTTATAAATGTAAAAGACAATAGAATGAATTTATTAAACTAAGTAATTAATAATAACAAAACAAAATGTCCTTAGCATCTGGAAGAATTTAGCGAACGCTATTTTCATACTGTTAACTGAAAATTACGTCAAGTACTGTCACGTGTGGAGATATTGCTTTTATTGTTGTGCTAACAGATTCAACCATTTTCTTTTGATTTCTTGATAATGTTGTGTATGTTTGCTTGGCAGTGTAGTATACCAATATAAATGTCAATGTGAGATTGACTATGTGGGCAAGACCATCCAACGGTTGGAGGTAAGCATTGCCCAGCATGTCCCATGAAATGTGCGAAGACACAAGCCTATAACATCCGAGGGTTTACAAAAACACAAGTCTGCAATTGGTGAACACCTATTAAATTCTGTTGCTTGCAGGATGAACTATTCTCTTGACTTCTTTTCTGTTGTGCACAGAGCTAGAACAAGACTCTATTTAGATATCTTGGTATCTATTATTATGTTGGGGCCACCCACCTTCTCATCAGAATGGACTGATCTCTCTACTACTAATAGGACAGTTCTATAGAGTTCTGGGAGATCAGGTGACCATCACACTTCCGTCTCTCTACCGGAAGATACAGTTGGACTTTATACTCTTTCTGATTGTTACTGACTAACCTGCGTTCGTTTGACTACGAATCTCTCTGTTGTAAATACCTCTTCAGATATACCAGTATTTTTTCCTACGTATGTGTTTGTCCTTATTTCAATACACGCACGGGGAAACACTCAACATCTCAACACCCTATTTGGGGAAACTACTGCCTTACTAGGAACATATTTAATATGTAGTATTTTTTTTTTTTCACCAAACTCCCCTCCCACCTTACATGCCTATTGGGTAATTGATTTCTTAATATCAGTTGTTGATAAAAGTTCTTCATATCAGCATCTTTCTTTTATATTGCCGATGATTGTGTTTCTGAGGAAGTGTCGGTCGAAAGGTGCTTAAAATCCTGTTCTTAAATGAGATACTTTTGTATATATTTTAATAAGAAATATGAACATTGTCCTTAAAGTTATCTTGTCTTGGTGTGGCATTAAAAAAAAATCTTTTTTATTTTAAAAAGAGAAGAGAGAAGGTGCAAACCTTTTTGGTTGTAATGTGGATATTTTAAATATATATTAGATTTTATTTTCCATATTTTTGCTACACACATTTCGGGTCTTGTGACCTTCATCAGGCAAAATGTGGTTATTTCCACATATTATTAAAAGTAATTCATTTTCTTAGTTTTCTAATGTTTAACCATTGTCTTTTGTGTGTAGTAGTAATCCAAAATTTTCTTGGATTTGTGGTGAAAATATTCTTCTGCTTAAGGGGTAATAAAACAATTAGAATTGGTCAGAGAAAGGGTGAAGGAAGGAGGTCTTTGTTCTTATCTTTTTATGACCCCTACCCCCACACATCTTCTTAGACCTATCTCCATTTTTGAGTAGTGTGTGTGCGTTTTTCCTAGTATGTGTATACATATTCCTTCTCCATACATGTATATTGTTTTATTATAAAGAATTAGTGTGTGTGTGTGTGTATATATATATATATATATATATATATATATATATATATAAAATAAATAAAAACACACACTTCCTATGTTGGGTAAGCTTAGGATCTGTTTAGTGCTGGTTTAAGTTTGTCTATAAAGTTTTTTTTTCTTGTATTCAATTATTCTTACCTACAAATACAAGAAAAAACTTTATTGACAAATTTTAAAAAACAAACAATGCGCATATGAAAAATGAAAAATATAGAATGGCAACAATTTACCCATCACACATATATATATATATATATATATATATATATATATATATATATATATAAAAATGACATCTCCAGAAGACTGATCGAAAAAAGGTAAAAGATTGATTAGATTGTTGTGAGCAATGATTGAGCATAAATTTTAAATGACCCCCTAACTATGGGAGACGTGAAAAGTGCAATAAAAGTAATAAACTTGCATAAAGAACCAGGGAAGAATGGTATTCCACCTGAAATCTTTATCTTCGGTGGTGAACAGCTTACTTCTGTTGTTTATCAGGTTATATGTGACACTTGGAGGAGAGGAATGGTACCTGAAGCCTGAAAGGATACCAAATATGTGCCACTTTACAAAGGTAAGTACATATGTGCCCAATATAATAACTACAGAGGAATCACTTTGTTGTGTGCAATTGACAAAATCTTAGACTCTATGACCTTACATTGTTTAAATGAATATATTAATACCACTCTTCTGAAATCATGGTATGAGTTCAAACTAAACCAAGGCATAGTGGACATGTTCTATATCCACCAGGTAACTAGAAGGAAAATGTGTTGAACAAAAACTATTTTCTATTAATAATGATCTGTGTCTTCCATCAGCATGGCTAATGCTAACCTCCAGAAGCGTGACTCATTGAACTTTCTGGGGCTAATGTTCTCTGCTGACATGAAGTGGGAAGATTATATTGAATCAATTGCTAGATCTGCTGCTAGGAAATTTGGTTCCCTTTTTTATGTTGGACAGTTTTTCTCTCAAGAATCCAGTTTACCATTCGTCCATGCATTGAATATTGCTGGTGCTTCTGCTATATATTTAGAGATTTTTGAGAAAATCCAAAGAAGAATCTGCATTATTATTGAAACAGCATCCAAGCTTCAGTTACTTTTTGATCACTATAATGTAGCTTTTCTCTACCTTTTCTTAAATACTTTCATGGTAATTGTTCTGATGAACTTTTATCTATAGTACTTAGATTTTATGAATTTAATCACAGTACTAGATTTGCAGCTAGGTCTCATCATTTTACAGTTAATTGGCTAGATGTAACTAAGTTATTTGGTAACAGTTTCATTTCTCACACTTCTGGCCTGTGGAACTCTTACAGCTTCTTACTTTCCAGCCAACTTTGACCTTCAAAAATTTAAATGCAATGTCAATCATTATCTTGATTCTTCTCCTTTTATTGTTCTCACTCCTTAATAAAGTTTTTTTTTTATTCTTTTACACTAACCCCTTTTGTCTTAGTGGCTTTAT